CCCAAGGAGCTGACAGCCGTTGGGCAGGACCGAGGACACTTCCGTCAGGTTCCTGGGTGTGAGGCCAACTCTTAGGCCGAGTTCCTGGGTGGGCTCTGACCAACAGGCACAGGGGCCTGAGGCACACAGGAGAAGAGGCAGCCAAACAGTCACGGGCAGAAGACTGGATAGTATACACAGGCCGCCTCCTCCCACCCGATTCACGGTCAGCGCAGCTCCGAGCGAAGCCCCACTGACCGGCTGCTTCTACAGGACTGGCCGAAGCCTCGCCCCTCTGGATGCCAAGATGAAGAATAAAGCCAGAGGCACTAAGAGAGGGGAGACGTGTGTTGAGGGTCCCCAAACCACCCCCAGTTTCACTGACTCCCCAGAAGGACTCCGCATAGAGTCGTGCTCACGGCAAAGGTTCATCACGGGGAAAGGATACGGAACAAAATCAGTGCGTGGAAAAGGCATGTGGACAAGAGGCGGGGGCACGAGGGGCCCCCATGGGAGCTGTGCTCCTGTCCTGCTCCTCCCTCTGCAAGCACACGCAGCAGGGAGCGCCATCTCTCCGGGAAAGCCGCGGACACCGGGCACCGGGGGTCCACACTGGGGCTGGGCACACAGGCACCCCCTGGCACGCACCGGGACTGCCGACTCCCAGACAGAAACCCTGCGCGCACGGTTGAGGCGTGTGAGCCATCGTCAGCAGCCAGGGACTGGCCTCGCGGGCAGGCCTGGTAAGGACCGCGTCCGGCTTGCTCAGGAACTTCCTCACAGAGCGAGGCACAGAACTGAAGGCACTGGCAGCCGGTGAACACAGGAGAAGATGCTCGACTTTGGTTAAAATACATGGCGTACGATTTCACACCGGCAGGCCCAGCGAGACAGACAGCTCGGCACCAGTGGTGAACGTGACCTGGCTGTCTTTCAGACACCCACGGCAGGAGAGCCTGGGTCTCGCTCTGTGGCTGCTCTTGGGGCAGATACAGAAGCTCTCCAGTCCCTTATGTGACCGTGAGCGGGAAATGTGGCGCCCACACCCATTCCTTCCTTCGCCACTTTGCCCAGCACCGTGAAAGCAGCCAGCTGACCCCACATCCTTGTTACTCAGACCAAAATGTCCGGAGGTAGCAGGCGCACGTTCACCCAGAATCTCTCCTCCTACAGGTTCTCGACCACGGGCATCCCAGGGCAGGCCACAGACTACTGGCGACCCCCTCCCACATGAGACAGTGCTTTTCTATCTCATCGGATTAGAGGTCCCAGACCCCATTCAGAGAGCTCATCCTGAAGACCGTCCTTGGGAACCACTCTGGCCCCAGCGTTTTCAGCTAGGGTTGCCTGGGAGGCCTCACCCATCGGAGGTGTAAGTGAGGAACTGGCTAGGCGCATCTGAAGTCCGCTGGGCAGCCCGTCGGGGGCAGACCCTGAGCCGTGGGATGGCTACGGGCACGGACTTTCTCCACGAATTCTGGCTGCCGCCGAGGGACTGAGGGCTCGGGCTTGGTGGAGACCGGCAAGGCCCTCGCTAGCTTTTGTAAACTCAAACTCTGCCCTCTGCGTAGCCACAGCCAGCCTCCTCCAGGCCACGCTTTTGAAATCAAACACTTGGTTTTCGCATCTTGCACCGTCCCACCACACTGAGAATTCCCTCCTCGCCTGACGAGGCCTCTCCCCCAGCCGACCCCGGTCCTCTCCTACTTGAGGCCCCGGGATGTGCCTCTAGCACAGAGTGAGGAGGCCTCCTTCGTCCCGGGCAGACTGCCCGGCAAGCGATGGACACAGCGCCACTGTGCTCTCTGAGCACCCGCCTCCCTGCGGGGAACACACCCCTGGCGTCCCTGGCCCTCAGCAGCAGAGCGTCCTTTCTTTTCAAGAACATGTCTGTCAGTGTATTAACATGCACGAGATGAAAGCTATAGAAGGCGGAACCTTCTTCTGTAAAACCTGCTTTTTTTTGGAGGCAGAGCTGTGCGCACGTGGCGGGGGCAGGGCAGAGGGAGAGAGAATCCTAAGCAGGTTCCACGCTCGGTGCCAAGCCAGACATGGGGCTGGACCTTCCAACCCTGAGATCATGACCTGAGGCAAAATCAAGTTAGACACATAACCGACCTGCTTTTGTACAAAACACACAATTCATTGACTCAGGAGTCTCGATGGGGAAACACATGATTTGGAAAGGTCCGTAGAGGAGGACACCAAACAGCCAAAGGGTTGCAGGAGCTCCCACTGCTGGACGTGCTCTCTCTGGAAGGTGCCCGCGGACCCTGCCCCGAGAGGACACGCCTGCTCCACCATCCAGAGTGTCTACACCAGCAAACGAGTGAAGCGGTGTGAAGCCTCCCACTCTGGAGACATGTACCAAAAATACAGAATTCCTTAAAAGCTTGGATCAAAAGGCCTACTAGAACCAAGTTAAAGGGACTTTGGAAACTATGGCTGACATCGGTCCATGACATGGGTCCGTGAAACCAGAGGGAGGGTCCGGTCTGGCTCACCCCTCCACCGGTGTGCAGCACGGAGAATAAGCACCCACAAATGCCGCTTCCCGAGCCCCCAGGAACTGTGAGGTTCGTGTGTTTTTAGTCCCGTGTGGTTCGGCTTCACTTTCCAGACCCTGCTTCTGTCTCATACCTTCAAGGCCTTCCACTCGCAGCCCTCCAAGGCCAGGCAGGCTTCTCTCGGGATGCCCCCAACCCCCCTGAGCCTTCTGCGTCTGCAGCCGTCGGCTACGAGCCTAAACACAGCTCTGCGGTGGGCTGGTCCCGCTGGCTCCATGGGCTCCCTGCTCAGGGCTCACGCCAAAATCTGGGTGCGGGCAGCTTCGCTCTGGGGACGGCCAGGCTCACGAGGTGCTGGCAGGATCCAGCCCCCTGCTTGACGTGGGGTCTCAGGCAGCACCCACACACCGCTCCTTCCTGTGCTCTGGATCTGCTCCTGCGTTCTGTTTCTGCTCGACAGGCTCATGTGGTGACACTGGGCCCACCCGAGAGTCACTTAAAATAATCTCTGTATTTTAAGGTCACTTGATTAGTAAATTACATCTTTAAATCCCATTTGCCCTGCAATGTAACAAGTCACAGGTGCAACATAGGGGGGCAAGGAGCAGGGGAGCCAAACCCTGCCTCTCGTTTGCTGGGGACCCCATGCACTCCCCAGTGGGAAGGCGCCTCCTCCCTGGCTCCTGAATCCCCTGACCCAAGAGGCCTGGTCTGGAGTCCCTGAGAAGCCAGGCTGGCCACCTTGGTCTCAGCCCCCCACAGGCTAAAAACAGCCTTGGTTGGGAAGCAGGTGTTTTGTAGGGACAGTGGCCAGGGCCAACCCTGGCACAACCACCTCCTCCCCGGACGCCAAGACCCGGCCTCCGGGAGAGGCGGCCGCGAGGGGCCAGAGATGGGGGAGAGAGCCAACATCCTGTCATGGATGCCAGGGGCCGGCACAGGAGGCCCTTCCCTCTCAGCTCCGGCCCTCCCTCCTGCAGCCTCAGCACCCGGGGAGACGGGAGCGGGGTGGGGGGACAGCACAGGGCAGGTCCCCGCGATTCTTCTGGCTTCAGCTTCCTCCGTAGTGGGGAGTGGCACGAAGAATACCACCCACGTGTGCTGGAGGGTCGGGGAGCCTGGGCCAGACAAACCCCACTGCCCCGCAGTCTCGGGCCGAGGCCAGCCATCTGGTGAGCCAGGGGACCCTTTCTCAGAAGAATGTCTGCAAATGCATAAAAGAAACCACATATTAACAAAAATGACATGGCAGCCAGTCTGTCCCACTCACAGCAGTGTCCCTGGAAGCCGCCCAGGTGACCGTCCTTCGCGTTGGGGGCGGGGGGACACTGCTCTGGTCCACCTGCAAACAGAACGCTATCGGGTCTTAAAAAGGAGTGGAGCACGAACACAGACTCCAACGACCGTGAACCCAGAAAACGGCGCTGAGTGAAGGAGGCCAGCCATCCAGAACAGAGCCCCCACAACGGCCGGGGGCCGGGCGGGGGGACAACAGCGATGGAAAGGTCCCACGACGTGGGAGCGCACGAGAAGCCCGTGAATGGTGCGCCTGGATGGGTGAGCTGTGTGTGGTTCCGCCTGCACACGCCTGTGGAGGAGCTTTCCATCCACGTTCAAAGCCCTGCCTTCTGAGACCCCCCCTCTCAGATTCTCTCCATGGCCCCCGGCGACTGGTGTCCCCACAGGCAGGGCCCTGCCGCGGCCGTGAGCGGGGCCTCCTTCCATGCAGTGTCTCCACAGGACAAGGGGGTGAGGGTGGGGGCAGGCCCACCCCCAAAGGAGCCGAGAGGGTTCCCGCCCACAGACCCTGGGGCAGGGCAGCCATAAACATCTCTGTCCTTGGACCCAGGGAGACAGAAGGGCCCCGAGCCCCGGGAGGGTGGGCACAAAGCCCCGCCACGCTCTCCTCAACGGCCCTGCGGTGTCCTCGCCGGCACCCAGCCCTTGCAGCCTGTGGTCGCACAGCACGCGGAAGGCCCTGGCCGGGACCTCGGGGGGTGTCCTCCTTCTCCACCACAGGTACCTGCAACCCGGCTTGGCTCAGCAGCCCGCAGCCCCCTCGCCCCCACCCTGGTCTTGATGGGGAGTGAGAGCCCTGAGGGCCGAACTTTAAAGAGAATCAGGAGCAGTATGTGGTCAGTGTAGAAAACAACAGAAAAACAGACCAACAAGATGATACCCCACGGCTCACACTGGGCCCCAGCAGGGCCTCCACATGTCTCCTTGGGGTGGGGGTGGGGGTGGGCTCAGGCTCATGGTTCATGCCAGGCACTGCCCTGGACCTCGGTGGGAGCACGTCAGGCCTGCTGGCAGGAGAGGGCTGGGGACTTCTCCTCCTCAGGACTCTAACCTGTGGCCCTGCTTCCTTCTCTCCAGGGGGAGGGACCCGGGCCCTCTTGGAAGCTGCTGGCCTCCCCCAGCCCAGGCCTCCTCCCCTGTAAGGTCCTCGTTTTAAGGACAGTGATCCTCCTCCCTGGGAAGTCAGGTGCAGGGACCCTGAGGGGCTTCGCTCACCTGCCAAGCCAAGACTGAGGCCTCCTGCAGGCTGGGCGGCTCCTGGGCCCCTGGTCTCTCGCTGCACCCTGGCCTCAGGCTCCTGGCCAGGTCCTCAGATGGGTAGAAGCTGGAGGCTCTCTGCACAGAGCCTGGTACACCTCCAGCAGGCGGTAGGCGTCGGCAGCTGGGGGGGCATGGGTCAGCCTCAGCCTCCAGGGTGGGGGGCACGGGGGCGAGGGGGTGCAAACCTGCATAAACTGGCTGCCCCCGCTCAGTGGCCGCCGGTCCCAGTTAGAGAGCTGCTGTGCCTTGTCCAGGGCCTTGCCCAGCACCTGCTGCACCGGGAGGCTGAGGCCCCGCAGCCCCTGGCCTCACCCCTGCCTAGAGCTGGCTTGTCCAACACCAGCATCTGCCAAGAAAGAGCCCCTCGGGGGTGAGGGGCCTGCCCTGGGGAAGGCGCCTGCGCACAGAAGGAAGGGCACAGATGGTCTAGGCAGGCAGGGGCAGGGGGACTCAGGGCCACGGTGGCCTGCCCACGGGGGTCAGCTCTGGGGCTAACATCTCAGCCCCCAAAGGTGTGGCTGAGAACTCAGAGGGGCCCAAAGCAGGGCTGGTTCTGGGGAAGGTGTGGGGACACGTGGTGACACCCCCTCCCCGGGGGGCCCTGGTGACCTGAGTAACCCAAAGGTGCTCCAAGGCCATGAGCACATCCTGACCCATAGACACCAGCCAGCCTGTGGTGAAGGCCCCCGGCTGGCAGGGGCATCACTGTGCAGGCGGCTCAGCAGACAAGGGAGCGGCCCCGGCCCCGTGCCCGTCCCCTCCAGCTGACCTGCCTGTGCACCTGCAGCTGGTCTAGACCGCCCCGCAGCTGCTTCTCCACGTGAGCCAGGGCGGGGCAGGAAGCCCCCAGGCTCCGACGTCCCGCCATAACCTGCAGGGAGGGCCATCAGCGTGACAGGCACCTGAGGCAGGGGCCCTGGCCTCGCCCCAGCACCCTCCCCCGGGTGGGCAGGGGCTGTGCTCACCCAACTTAGTGACGGAGGGGTCCGAGAGCAGCTGGGACACCTGCCCTCCTGGTGGCCGTGAGAGCACAGGCAGGTCCAGCAGGAACACACGGCCCTCCGCTGCCAGCTGCATGATGGATGCCCGGGGCCGGCCCCATGTACCAAATGAGGGTCGCCACTCCAGGTCCACAGCGACCACCTGGCCGGGCTGTAGAGAGCTGGGATGAGCAGGGGAGGCCCATCCAGGGGCTGCAGGCCTGTGGCCGAGGGCATGGCCTGCCTGACCCCCCAGAGGGTGAAGCCGAGGGCAGGCAGTTTCTGTTGGGGGGCCTGACCGGCCCTGTGGGCTCCTACGGGGCCGGGCTGCGCCTGGCCCCTGCCTGCCCCTCGTTCCACACGGAAGGGCTCAAGGGACTCCTTCTGGCCTCCTCAGGCCCGGAGCCCAGCCACAGCACAAGTGTGGTGTTGCCGCAGGCGGGGGCCGGTGCCAAATGTCTGTGGGCAGGTGCCCGATGCTTGCACTTTAGGCCTGGAGGCTTCCAAATGGGCCGGTGTAGTTGCCCTGCTCCGCGGGGGTGTCTGGGGCACGGTGGGACGGAGAGCCAAGCCCGCTGGGTCCTGGTGTGGACAGAGCCCCTGGAGCCGGCCACCCACCTGCAGGAGCTCCTCCTCGGGCCAGGGGCCAGGAGGCCGGGAAGAGGATGTCCTCCCCGGCGATGGGCAGCTGGTAGTAATCATCCCTCCGGTCTTGGAAAGTCACCTCAGCCGTCCTAGGATGGAGCTGTGGCACCCCCACACCCTGGGTCCCTGGTGCCCTCCCCCAGCCCAGCACTTTCCGGCCTGGCCGGGCCCGCGCAGACCTCCGAGAGGCAGGGGAGCTCTGAGGGCGCTTGGTGGGCTGGCGTCTGCAGGGGCCTTGCTGCTCGCTCCCCCTTGCCCGACCTGCTGACATACGCGACTCATGGGGCCGCTTGCCAAGGGACGGGGGCCCGAGCGCCTGTCCCCCTCGCCAGCCCCCCGAGCCTGGGCGCCGCCGCTCCTGGAGTTTGAGCTGGCGGAGCTGTGCGTGGCTGGCAGCCGCTCCTCGGGCAGCGAGAGGTCCAGGGCGCCTCGTTGTCACGAGAGGCCAGCAGCTGCCGCAGCCCCGCCTACAGCCACTCGCGCTGGGCCACAGGCCCTGCGGGGCACGCGGGATGGGCTGTGCGGCCCGGCTCTGCCCCGAGGGGGTGCGGACAGTCCCCCGGGCCCGCACCTCCCCCCCAGACCTCGCAAGCCCCAGAACGGGAGGCTGTTCCCTGAAGGAAGGCCACAGATGCTCCCACGACTGAGGCTCTGTGCCGACCGCGCTGTCGAGCGAGGGCCCCCCACGTGGTCTGGTCGGAGGGCCGCTGTCCTGTGTCCACAGCCCAGCCCAGCGGCCCTGCCCCCCAGACCCGAGACCAGCCCTGTCCTTCTAGAACATTGCCTGACCCTGCTCCTTCTCCACCCTTGTGTGCTGGGGCCTGCTCCTGACCCTCGGGCTGCCCCTCAGGTCTCCTCGCCCCTGCCCTCGTGGCCAGCCAACATTCTCAGGGGAAGGTGGGGCCATGGGACACTCCTGAACCCACAGTCCAGAGAGTGGACACAGGCGAGCAGCCCTCGGAGTGGCAATGAACGTGGGGGGCCTCACGAGGCTGTCTCCCACACCAGGGCCCAGCACAGGAGTGGGGGGACCCACGGGGCCCACAGGTGTCCCGCCCGTCAGCTCAGCCTCAGGACACCCACAGCAAGGCCCAGCCACCTGCACCACCAGGGTCCCACAGGAGGGTTTCGGTCCTGGCTGAGTCCTTGAGTCCATGAGGTCGTAGCCTGCTGTAACTCGGGTGGGCCGGGAGTCTGAGCCTCTTGCCCTCCTGATCTCTGGCCCCCGAGGCCTCTGTGTGCTCTGAGGAGCCCCTGCTGGCTGACAGGCAGGGCCCCCTCCCAGACGACTCTGTCCCCCCAGTAGCCTCAGGCCATCCGCTTCCCGCAGGCCGCGGGTTCCCACGTGGACGACAATATGTGGAAGCCCCTCCACATTCTTCAGGATGTCCGCTGCCCTTCCGGCTGCCTCGGCCTTGGCACCCAGGGGGGACCAGCCTTCCGGGCCTTCCCTGGGGGTCCACGTTCCTCTCCGGTGACTCACCACCCACCCCACACACCCATCACTCCAGGGGTGGCTCGGCGCTGCCCCCCGCTGGATGCCACTCAAGACACCAGAAGCCAGACTATTCATCAGGGAGGGAAGGGCCCCCCACTCCACGAACTGGCCCACAGCTCCATGCCCTTTGCACCTGGGACCCCACACACCCCCACCTTCTTCCCAGGCTGCTTCACCCAGGGCTGGGGACAGCTCTGTGCCCATGATGAGCCACACCTCCAGCTCAGGCCTGAGGGACAGAAGCTACTAGATGGTCCTGTCCAGGCTGCCGTCCTGATGGGCTCTGCAGCCCCCAGACCCAGGAGTGGCCTTGCAGTTCAACCCCCTCTATGCCCCTGCATCACCCCAAGGGGCAGCTGCCTCCTTCTAGGGGCCTGGGCTCACCCCCCACCTGGCCTCAGGGGGCACAGAGCCATGGGCGAGGACCGTGCTCAGAGATGGTCTAGAATATTCCCTTGGTGAACACTGTGGAACCTCCAGCACACGCCCCTCCTCCATCGCCTGGGGGCTCTGTACACTAAGGGCTGAAGGAGGGTCCAGGCCCCCCAGCCGCTCTGGCCCTGCCTCACCCGGGTGGGGCCCTCACACAAAGCCTACCCTCAGCATCTGCCTCCTGTACCTTCTGAGCGGGGTGGCAGACCTGAGGCTCTGTGGCTGGTTCCTCGTCAAGGTGTGGCATTTATGCTGGGAGAAGCCCTTTCTCTACACCATCTGCTCCCCAACCTGCCAGGGACACCAGAGGAACCGACCCAGCTCGTGGGCCAACGTGAACGCTGTCTGGGCCACGGCACGCACCCGTGAGCTACGCACCACGTGCCCAGTCCATATGTGTGCACGCACTCTCCCAGGGCCACTCGTCCCCCTAGGTCCTCAGCCAGGTCTCCAGGGAACGCCACAGCACGCAGGGCCCTGCAGACTCACCTGCACGTGGCCAGTCCGGTTCTCCCGAGACAGGCTGCTCTGCAAGAGCGAGCACCAAGGGACCTTTCTAGCGACAACTCTAGAAGCTGGAGAGACAGCCTCACCTGGAGCACCCCTCCCGCCACGGCCCGGGCTCGGGGCTCTAAGCAGGGCACACGCACCTCCACACCACGAACCGCTTACAGCACAGACGGTGCAGGGCGGCCAGGCGCGGCTGAGTGACAGCCCAGGGACACAGCGCGGCTGAAAGACAGCAGAGCCCGGGTGGGGCAGGGGCTCCACCCCACACCCTCCCCAGCCTCGAGCCTCTCTTGGGTCTGCCGGAGCCCCTCCCTCTGCACCGGGACAAGGGACACCAGCCCCGTCTCCCCGGGCTCCATTCCACATTCTCCAGGGCGGGACCCTCCGGACGGTGCGTTTGCTTCCTGTCCGTCTCCCACTGGAATGCGAATCCTTCAGGAAGAGGCCATCTTGCTCACATGTTGACAGACTGATGCTTACTCGTCGGCCTCGCTCCCGGGAAGGGCACCCACCTGCCCACCCGTCCACCCGTCCAGCCATCTGGTTGCTGCCCCTCCCTCCCGGGGCCAGCTGTCCTTGAAGCCTGGCGGTGCGGCTGGGACAGTGAGGGGTCCGGTCTTCTAAGGACCTGGCCAGGACCCTGCGCTCTCCACACGCGCTTGTTGCAGGGCCGCTGTCCACCCACAGCGGAGGTCAGTGCTGCCCAGAGGTTGGCCAGAGACTCTCCCTCCTCCTTCCTGCCCGGGACCTGAGGGCTCCGGACCCCAGGAGGCTGCTCAGGAATCTGGGACAAGCCTGCAGGCGAGGGGGACAAAGCCTGAGGAAGGGAGGGACGACCCGGCGAGCCACGCGGGGAAGAAGGAGCTCCGAGTGGCCAGCGTGTTCTCAGAGCACCGTTCCCACGCAGAGCTGCAGACAGAAACCTGCTTCTTGGCCGTTTCTACACTTTGAGGTGTCACTTTGCCAGTGGGATACTTTGTCCAAAAGCCTCACCCCACAGGTGGGGCTCAGCCCTGGTCAGACCCGAGCGCAAATCCCTAAAGGAAAAGGCCCGGGTAGAGCAGGCCCGACCTCCTGACACACACTGAACATCTGGAAATGCCACACAACCCAGTGTCCTGCAGACTCATCTGTGCTACGAGGCCTTGGGGGGCTCCACCTGGGACCCAGGCCTGGGGGGGCTTGTGGGGAGCTCAGGGTGGACAGGCAAGCAGAGCTCCCCGGCCCTCCTTCTGGGCCTAATGTCAGTCCGTGGAGGCCCACAGCGGGGATGGTGGATGCACAGCGAGGACTGCCGACGGGCAAAGGGACAGTGCTGTGACCCTGAGGCCTCCTGGCCAAGACACACCCCTGGAGCCAGCTGGGGAGGCTGCAGGTGGGGCCTGGCAGCACATGGCCATGCAGAACCGGAGACCCAGCTGGGTGGCTGTCCTCCCCACTCCCAAACGGGGCCAATGAGCTAGGCACCCCTAGAAAACACCTGCCCCTCCCCTCCTGTCCCACAGCCCGTCAGACTCCACATGCTGTCTGGGGGACGACCCCATTGTTCAAGGGGTGTCTGGACACCAGATCTGCTCCTGCCTCACACTCAGCCGAGACCTGTGGGGTGGGGTGGACCCTCACGGGGGACACACCCTGAACTGGGGGTGCTGGGCTAAGGCTGGCCCAACACCCCCAAAGACTCTTCTGGCCCCAAGCCCTGGGCCCACCACGGCCATGACCTGACCCTGAAGTGGGGACCCTGGGGGTCAACAAACGGCACGGCAGCGCTGCTGGAAGGAAAGACGGCCCCACCCGGAGCCCGCATCCTCAGACCTCCACACAGCCTGCCCGTCACGGTCCGGAGTCCTGGGTGGGGAGAGCCTCACAGCGGCCGCCATGGACTCGGCGCGTGATTCTGTGCTGAGAGCCCCCGGGAGCCTCACCTGCAGGCAGCTGAACTGTGTGCCCGCCCCACGTTCCCACCGGGTGATGCCAGCAGGGCTCCCCACCCAGCACCCACGGACGACGGCGTGCAGGTGACCTCAGAGGCCCTGTGCCAACGATGCGGGTCCCCATGGGGGGCCACTCCTTAGTGTCAACCCAGTGCTCTAGTTCTCCAAATGCAGGGGCAGGTGACCCACCTTACACGCCCCTGTCCCTCAGACCCTGGCACCCCAGAGGTCTTTGCTGCTGGGACCCTCCTTGGAGCTTCTGCCCCTAACACTCCACTCTTGGTTTTACTCTGCAGCTGGTGGAGGCTCCTTCCTATAGCTGCTTCCCCGGGGCCTCAGGGGTCCCACCAGTCGGCCGGTCCTCTTCGGCCAGGCTCAGGGGCTTCAGGTGGATCCCCAGCCAACCGCCAGCACAGCCAGCAGCTCCTTGCTCCTCGCTGACCCTGACCTGCCCCGACACCGGCCTGCAGGCGTCCACATACCTTCTTGCTTTTCCCATCTATGCTCCTAGTGCCGCCCGAGGGGCTGTTTAAAGTCATGAATCAAAGCCTCTTGGTGATGTGCTTCTGTCTTTGCAAAAGCCCCAAATATTGCCCTCTTTTCTGGAGGCAGGCACCTTCATCCAAGGGCCAGAGAATCTGCGTAATTTCTCAAGGGTGCCAGACACAAACATGATGACAATTAAGCCTCCGAGTGACACAGAGAAACAGATGCTGACCAGAGACGGTGCGGAAATGTGGATACAAACCATAAAACAACCGTGGGCAAGACCTTCAAAGAAAGAGAAGACAAGATCAGAAATACGTTCAAGCATCGAGAAGCCGCCCAAAGTGAGACAGCAGATCTGAAAAAGACCGCATTACAACTTCTGGAGCTGAAGATACAACAATCAAAGAGCATAAATGATGGATGTGTTTTGTAGTTTGTTGGACACAGACGAGGAGAGGCTTAGTGAAGCGGGAAAGAGCAGAAGTCACCCGAACACACAACGAAGGGGACACTGGAGGCGGGGGGAGAAGATCAACACACAGTCAGGGGCCCAGAGAACAGCGGAAGAAAGCAGGAGATGTGATGTGTGAGATCAAGACTTAGAATTTTTCAGAACCGACTGAAGACAGCAATCCAGATTCAAAAAGCCCAACACATACCAAGGAAGATAAATACAAAGAAATCTATAACTAATCTCCTCACAGTGAGACCACAGAACATCAAAGACAAAGAGATTATCCTAAAAAATAGCCAAAGGAAAAAAAGATTGCTTTCAGAGACAAGAAGGTAGATTTCTTCATAATACGTTTCAACCCAAAGGACTGACATTATACAAGGCATGATCTCCGATCACGATGAGATTGAGCCCACACCAGAAAAATAACTAAAAATGGCAAACAGCTTGGAAATTAAGAAATACATTTCTAATTAACCCATGGGTAAAGAAAAACTTATAATAGAAATTAGAAAATACCTTGAGCTGCACAATAATAGAAATAATATATATTGAAACTTGGGGAATATTTTAAGAAGAAAGAAGGCTTAAAATTTAGTTCGGTGGGCTGGGGAGGGCGAACAACAGAGAGGACCAAAAAGCCAAAAGCAGGTAACAAAAGCAAAAATCAACAAGTGGCATTCCTTCAAACTAGAAATTAGTTTCTGCACAACAAAGAAACAATCAACAAAATGAAAAGGTGACCTATGGAGTGGGAGAAAACATTTGCAAACCACATATCTGATAAAGGGTGAATATTCAAAATACGTAAGGAACTCATATAACTCAATAGCAAAAAGAATCCCAAATAACCTAATTTAAAAATGGGCAGAGGAACTGAAAAGACATTTTCCAAAGAAGACATCCAAATGGCCAGCAGGTATCTGAAATGGTCCAAGACATCACTAATGATCAGGGAGATGCAAATCAGAATGGCTATCATTCGACAAAAGACAGGAACTGAGAGGAGAGGGGAGGGGGGAGTGGGCAGGGGAAGGGGGAGGGGAGGAGCACCGCCCCGGCCCCTACTCCCAGGGGTCACTGCAGGTGGGCAGAGGGGCTTGCAGACCTCAGTCCGCTGCTCAGTGCCCAGGGTCCGTGGTGGTGGGCAGGTGACGCAGGAAGGGGGTCGGGGGATCCTGGCCGCCCCGGGGCACCCAGGGTGTGGGGGCCCCGCTCACCTGGTCCAGGCCCTGCTGCTCCAGCAGGCTCAGGACCTGCCGACTTAGCACTCTGGGACTCAGCCTCTCCAGCCTCAAGGAGGTCACCTGTGGGTGCTGTCTGCAGGGAGAGAGACACGTCTTTTTAACTTAATACACGTAAGACTTATTTTCGTCAAAGTCACACGCACAGAGTTGAAAACTCAGGTAATTCTACGAGGCCTGTGGAAAGAGCACCACGTCACCGTGTCCCAGCACGCTCCAGACCCTCACACATCAATTCTGTCACGGCCAGTATTGGCCTGTGTTTCCAAGGAACATACTTGTGCGTGACCTCTTGGTTGTTCAGTCTTAGGTGTCTGGTACGGACATCTCGCCGTGGATGGCGCGCCGCGTTCCGACCTAAGTCAGGACACACCATGTTCACGCTCTCACGACCAGGCCAGTGCAGACCACACCCCTTCTCTTCAGGGTTAGTGCTTCTCTGGTTTCATCGCCTCCTTAGTTTCCAGACTGAGGACCCGACCAGCCTCGCCCTGAGCCAGTGAGGAGGTGAGCGGGCCTCCTCGCGGCCCCCCGGCTGCCGGCTGCTCACAGCTCACCTGCAGAAGTAGGTTTGTGCTCTGCCTCATGCTGGCTTGAGGGTTCGGCTGAGCTGAGGCTTTGGGGTTGAAGTAGCTGTCCCTCAGCCCGGGGCAGGCGATGCTCCCAGAATCCCGTCTGATCCCCGTGCTGCCCTGGGTCTGCAGCGTGGGTCTCATGCACTCTGGCCGCCCGCAGACCTGCTACACCCGACCCAGCCACCTCGGGAATGAGCTCTGTCTGCTCTTCTTTCTGGGGTTCCCATTGTTCTGATGTTGGGCCTTCCTGACAGGACCTCCAATTTTTCTTTTAATCTTTTCTCTCTGATTTTCATTGTTTATCTGTTTTGTACTTTTTGGAAGACATCTTCAAATTTATCCTCCAAACCTCTACTGAGCTTTTCACTTTGCCATCATATTTTTATTGACAAGAGTCCTGTTCTGTGTTCTGAAAGCTTCCCTGACTGTGGCACAGAGCCTCAGCCCGGTCCTCAGCTGAGCCCGGACGCCACGGCCCAGGGTCCCCAGGGTCTGGCTGACCGCCAAGGAGCCTGGGCCTCGGCTCCTGGGCCCTCCTCGGGCTCTGTACTGGACCCCACATGCTCCTGGTGGCCGCGGGCTCAGCTTCCCAGGCTGCTGCCTGACCGCCGGCACCCAGAGCCCCTCCCGTCACTGCCTCTCTCGCATTCTCTTCAAATGTCTTCTCCATTTTAAAGCAGAGACAATAGTGGGTCTGCCAGAGGCACTTTTTAGAACCCAGTGTTTATCGAGGTGTCACTGACAGGCGGCGAGGAGTGGGGATCGTGGGTGCACTTGCACTTGGTGGACCCGCCACCCACAGCTCAACACGGATGCGCAGCCCTCGAGCTGCCCCTGCCCCCTTGGCCACGCTTCAGACCAGCAGAGACCACGTGCCAGGTTTTGAACGTCCTACCGTTGGAATCATGGAGTCCGGACGCTTGGGTCTGGGCCATCTCACGCAGCGCGGGCTCTGGGACATTCCTCCACGTTATGTGTGTAACGTGTGAGGTCCAGCTGTGGCTGTGGACTGGCCTCTGGGTCCGTCCAGTGCTTGGGGACTAGGAATAAAGCTGCTGTGAACACACCAGTCTCTTCACAGACCACGCACCCATGTGTCCTGGGTTTGCTCCAACGGTGGACTGGCTGAGGCAGTCCTAGCCCATGTTTTGCTGGGGCCAGCAGCGCCGAACAGCTTCCTCGGGTGGCCGGGCCGCGTTAGCTGTCCCCAGCTGGGCACGGGGGTTCCTCCCTCGCTAACGTCTGGTATGCCAGACTTTTCTGTGTTAGCCATTATGAAGGAAGCCACTGCGTCTTTTGCAAATATTTTCTCCCACTCTAGCCTGGTCTTCTCGATTTTTTTTAAAGATTTGTTTATTTACTTATTTGTCAGAGAGAGAGAGCGAGTGAGCGCACAAGCAGGGGGAGCAGCAGACAGAAGGAGAGCCGACTCCCCGCTGAGCAGGGAGCCCGATGCAGGGCTGGATCTCAGGACCCCGAGATCACGACCTGAGCCGAAGGCAGACGCGTAACCGACTGAGCCACCCAGGCGCCCCTTGTCTTCTCATTTTTAAAAACACTTTAAGTAATCTCCACACCCAACATGGGGCTCGAACCCAAGACCCCAAGATCAATAGCCTCATGCTACTGACTGAGCCAGTCAGGTGTTGCTCTATGTCCCTCTCCAAATATTCAGTAACGGTGATGACAGCCAACGCTAGGTGTGCTGGGCTGGGCGCCCTGCGCGCTCTGTCTGCTTTGTAGCATGTTAAATCACACAACCCTTTGAGACAGGCAAAATTAGCCCCATGTGAGGGCTGAGGAAATAAACCCAGGAAGTGCAAGTGACTTGCTCATAGCTCCAGGGCAGGTGGATCCAGGGAGGTTGGCCCCAGAGCCCAGGGTCTGCATCTCAAGGGGGGTGGTCTCAGGCCTGGGTGCCTCGTGGCGCCGGATCAGGCCCCCAGTGCCTGCAGATGGACGGGAGGCTCGAGGAGCCTCCACAGACAGCCAAGTGCTGCTTCACCCTGTGGCCGCCGCAGATATGTGGCCAGCAGATGCCACCCCCACGCCCCACACTCGGGCCACACCCTCGCGTCACGTGTGTGTGCAGCTTAAGAGACCCCACGTGGGCTCCATGGGGTTACAGATGAGATTTATGAGGCGAAGAGATGAGTGAACGGACAGGTGCCGTGACTTCCAGCATGTAGCAAATTGTTCACGCAACCTGGAGAATTATTTTTGTTCGTTTAAGAGACTTAACTGTGTCTCGTCTGGTTCCTGCCAGGTGCAGCCTCTGGGCTCCAGAAGCAGGTCCCTCTCTGGCTGACCGATCCGCGGGCCACGCACGTGGCTTTCCCGAGCGCCTGCCGCCCCTGCCCCACCCTGGGCCCCCATGGGGCTTACCTGGCCCCGACTCTGACGTCAAAGCTGGGCTGGCACCAGGAGTCCAGGAGGGCCAGCAGCCTCCTCCAGAGGTCCGGGAAGCCGGCTACATAATGCTCCACGAGGGTCACCTTGTCCTGGAGGAGCAGTGGGGTGCTCCCATCTACGGGGAGCACATCCTCAGGTCACAGCCTTGCAGGCGCCTGGCACCTCCACGCCCGGCCAAGACCCCAGACTCACCCCCAGCCCAGAGGAGGCGTGGCCAGAGCATCCGGACTGAGAGGACCCGAGGCCCCTCCATGTGACCTGGCTCCCTCAGGGAGTGCAGAGGCCCAGCCAAGTGTCTGACTACATCCGTGGAACACCCCAGACTGGCCCCTAGGGCCTGGTGCACTCCTCCCAGCCCATGCCCTGTGCTTGCACACTTACACACACGCACACAAACACATGTAGGCCCCACTGCTCCCTGGGCCTGGTCCCGGGGCTCTACAAAGGACTGGAGGCCCCCAGAGGCAAGGCGCATCCTGGGGAAGATCAGCTGTCCCCTTGTCTTCACTGAGCTGCGGGGAGGAAGGAGGGAGACCAAGCATGGGCAGCAGCCCCGATGGCCCAAGTGCCTCCTCACTGGCGCAGGGGGCATGCCCATGCACAGTGCCCACAAGAGCCCTGAGCTGCCCATGCCCGCCCAGAAGCTCGGAGGAGGCCCCTGGCCGTGGCTCTGGGCCTTGGGACACTCAGGCCCTTTCCACCGCAAGAGTTCAGGCCTCAACAAAGCCCCCTGCCAGTGGTCCCAACGGTAGACCCCTCCTCACCTCCTGTCCTCTCCATGTGACCACACTGGGTCAGGCTGCCTGGAGCCCAGACTGAACAGGGACCCATCTGCCAGGTTGGGACCTCAGGAGGTGGACCTCACGGGGAGCCCCATTCCTCAGAGACCCTCTGGCCACTGCCTTCCGAGCATGTTGCACCTAAGTCCAGGGACTGCCCTCCTGGGCCCCACCCCCTCGGGCTCTCCTTGCACGGTCGGGTGCTCACACGTGACCCCTGCCCTCCAGCACCCCCAGCCCCACTCAGTGAGGAGCAAAGCCAGGGCTCAGTGGTAGAACCCCCCCTCCCCAAATCATGTTTCTAGAGACCCAGGCTTTATCCAAGTCAGAACCTGAATGATTTTCGTGAAAAGATACTTACCTTTCCTTTCTTTTTTTTTTTTTTTTTAGATTTTATTTATTTATTTGACAGAGAGAGACGGTGAGAGAGGGAACACAAGCAGGGGGAGTGGGAGAGGGAAAGGCAGACTCCCCGCTGAGCAGGGAGCCTGATGCGGGGCTCGATCCTAGGACCCTGGGATCATGACCTGAGCCGAAGCAGACGCTTGACGACCGAGCCCCCCAGGCGCCTGACGCTTACCTTTTCAACATCAAGTTCGAGCTGCAGCTTCAGCTTCAAGCCCAGCATAACGGCCTGCTGATCACAAATGCAGCAGGTTACACCGGGCCTGGTGGGGAGCAGGCAGCCCATGGGGGGCGCTCCCACCCTTCTACACCTCCCAGTCACTGAGGGCACAGGTCCAACGGCCTGGAACCCAAAGCCTCCGGGCAGACAAGCCAGGCTCCACAGGAGGCGGGGCAGGGGGGAATGCCCTGGGCAGGTGGGTCCTGCCAGGCTGGGGTGTGGCCTGGATGGGGCATCAGGGTGGGTGCCGGGCCCAGGTGGCTCTGGTCAGGGGTTGCCCATGAGTGGACAGAGGACCAAGAGGGAGGGGCAGACAAGAGGCAGGAGCTCTGTCACCTACCCCCAGACACTGGCACACTGTGCTTTCCCCACACCTGCTCTCACCTGCCGCATACCGCCCAGAAGTGCGCCCTCCGCCTGCAAGTGCCGGGCATGGCCAGTCATGGTGCTCACAGCCAGGGGCCAGGGCTGTGCACCCTGGGGGCCTGAGGGACCATGGCCCTGAGGTGCAGGGGCCTCTGAGCACTTTCCACAAGGCATACTCTGTGTGCACCCCAAAACGACTAATGAGTGCATAGCTGTCTGTCCAAAAGGGTGGGCTGGCCCCAGGGGGAGTGGTGGGGTCTGTGTGTTGGGGGATGCACAGCCCTGCCCCTTTGGTCCACAGAGAAAGAGGCTCTGAACCCAGCTGCGTCCTGGTGAGGCAGGGAGCGCAGTGGTCCCAGGAATGGGGAAGTGGGCACCGCCGAGAGCCCTGGCCCCCCCCCCTCCCCGCGGCCCTTGCTCACGGCCGCAGGGACCCTCCTACGACTCAGCATGGAGAGCGCCCGGGGCCCTGAGTGCCCGCACGTAGCGCAGGCTCGGCTACTATTAATAATTTCCATACATCGCACTCCCATTATGAGCAAAAATAACCGGGGGAGCAGCCGGGCGCCCCGCCCCACGCAGCTCACACAAAGGACCAAAATAGCGGCCTGGGAAAGGCTCGCTCAGGCCTCCGGCCCGGATCGCGCGGGGCGGGGGCGCGGGGCCAGGGGCCTTTCCCTGCGCGGCGCTGACCCGGCGCCTCCACAGCCTGGCCGAGGTCCAGGAGCTTGGCCGCTGCCAGGCCCCGCGGGGGCCCAGGGGAGGGTGCAGAGGGGCAGGGCCTGGGGAGGGGCCAGGGGCTGGAGGAGGGAGGACCTTATTGTTTCTGGATGGGAGACCCCCTGAGAAGCCCCGGGAGCACCAGGCCCCCGTCCAGGAAGGGAAACTGGGGTGGTCGAACGCTACTGCCTGTGTCCTGCATCTGCCATGTCCGGTTAGCTTCCTGGCTCCTCCAGGGTCAACACCCGGAGCTGGGCTTGGTCAGGCCAGGCCACCATCGGGAAGGGGCTGTGGGAGGGATACCTGGGGGCTCGGGACCCTCCCACCCTTCAGACCAGGCCGTGGGCCAGTGACCCGGGGAGAGATGAAGCGGGGGGAGCCATAAGGCAAGGGGGGTAGGAGGAGGGGGCACAGAGGCCCCGGGGGGCTGGGCCTCCCCCTCCCCCCACCACCTCTGCGGGCTATCAGTCTCTACCAGCCGCTACCTCTGCCCCCTAAGGACAAGACTTCATGTGTGCTCTAGGCCCCAGCCCTCAGTGGGCTGTGGGGGGGTCTTGGCCCCCCACCCGCCCAACAAGCCCTCTGAATCCTGGGGTGTGGGGCAGCCGGCAATGGTGGCCTGGGTGGAAGGGGGCGCGGCGGGCACTGCCCCTCACAGCCGCAGGAGGGGCTCTGCCACAGAGGGCAGCCTGCACCTGCCACCAGCCTCCCTGAGGGTCCCGTTCCTTTGCCCATGGGCACTGCCTCTGCCTTAAGGAGCCAGTGAGGCCAGGGTAGTCCTTGGTGCCAATCCCAGCCCTCAGGGCTCTGGTCGGTCAGTGGTGCCCCCTGGCTGAGGGGGTGGGGGCCGGTGTGGAGGTGCCGGCCATGCTCGGGGCCAGCCCTACATACCCCAGGCGGGCAGCTCGGGCCTCAGCACACCCCACCTGGCCACACAATGACTGTTGTAACGGGGGTCAGCGTGCTCGGCATGGCCCTTCTCTTCTCCCTGGTCCCTCCAGAGCAACCAGCTTTCCATGCAGCCAGCACTCAGGGTGACCTCTCTCAGCCCCGTGGCCTGCATGCATGGCCAGCGTGCCCAGAGCTGGATGACCACAGGCACCCTGGGGACAGTTCGGGAGGTGCCTTCATTCGGCACCTGTGGCCCAGGGGGGCGGTGGGCAGGAAGGGGGCAGCCAGGGAGGGTGCCCTTGGGGGATGGCTGACAGCAGTACCCTTGGCCTGGCTTCCATCTTGTGGGGAGCCCCATGTAGTTCTACCCCTGTCATCAGGCCTGGCTTAGGATCCATCCCTGGTCATTTTTCTGCCTGAGCTTCTGCTGAGGTGACAGCAGACCAAGCTGCCCACTGCCTGGTCACATGAGGGACCCAGCAGGTGTAGGAAGATCACCTGCCGACTCAGGCCCCTGTGATGAGCAGGGAAGGTGGGAGGGGCTCAGACCCCACAAAAGGAAATTGCCGAGGAATGGGCCTCCCTGGCACCTCCCTGGCCTTCCTGGCCTCTGCATGGAGGCCACTGAGAAGGGAGGCACTGGGCTGCCCAGCAGCTGGGTCAGAGCGAGGCTGGGGACCCCTCTGGCCAGACAGGTGCCAGAGCTACTGCCTTTGGGGAGCGGCTGGGGTGGTCACCGTGGGAAGAGCACCCACGGACCCCCGAGCTGCTCACTCCGCTGGGCAGGAGCGCCGGGCAGGTGCCCAGGCAGCCAAGCCCAGACTCAGCAGCCTCAGACCCAGGACGGGCCTGCCTCCCACCTCCACAGCTCAGCTCGGGCCTGGAGCCAAGGGGCCTTCCCCCCCACCCCCCCGAAGCAAAGCTATCTTTTTACCTTGATAAGCTGTTTAAAAAATGTAAATAAAATAACTCAGTAGACAAAAGCGGGCATTCATCCTGCCCGGAGCCAGCCGCCGCCCTCGACATGAAATATCGGCGCACATTAAGTCGTGAGTCCCTGCTAATCCGAGCGGACAGGCCTGAATGCGGTCCCTTTCGCCGGGCGCGGCGGTGGGCAGTGGAGCGTGCATCGCCTGCCGGGCCGCCCCGCTTGGGGACAATGGCTTTTCTTCGCAGAAGGGGCCTGTGCGGGACAAGAGCCCCCTTTGTGTTGGGATTCCTGCCTTGGAGCGCGAGGGAGGTGCATTCAGCCGGCCCGAGACACTCTTTGAAAGGCTCGGGTGTAACAGAAGACGCGGAAACACTAGCCCGCCTTCTGCCTCCCGCATTCTTGCAAGCCCAGCCGCTCATTCAGCCTGCGGAGAATGGCCCTGCGCCACAGGAGCGGAGCCCCGGCCACATTGTCGCTGGCCTGGTCACCTTGGTTTCTCAGCACCTTCACCAGCCTCGAGACAAGAGCCTGGGCCGGGGCATGACAGCCACCGATACAGGGCCCACACTGCCAAAGACCGAGGACTGGCGGCCCAGGTGAGGCCCACCTTGCAGTGAGCCTCCAGGCTGGGACTGGCCCCCCGGGGAAGAAGCCCCCCCGTGGGGTGGGCCCGGGATCCTGCCCCGGTGCCCACCGAGCCCTGAGCCACCACAGGTGTGGGGAGCAGGGTTCATGAGCCCCGCTGTCCCTCAGTTAGGCTCGACTTCGGGCCCGATGAGGCCGTGGGTGGAGGTGAGCCAGGAGCGAGCCTCGGGATACCCCTGGAACACTGGACCTGTGACTCGGTGAGAGCGCGCTCCTGAGCTGGGCGCCCCAGGACCTCTCCACCGCCTGCCTCCCCACGTGGTGATCGTCACATCTCAGGGCCCAGAGATGCCGCGGGGACCCCTGTGCCTGCAACAACCGCCCAGAGCCACCCCACACGGAGCCGCCCCTCCCTACTCACCGAGACCCCTGTGCCCTCTTCTGCCTCACGCAGAGCCAAGCCACTCCCGGTGCTCCTGGCCCGCTTCCATCTTCTCTCGGAAAATTCTGGACTTGAGTGAGAGCCGCTGCTCCTCACAACAGAGACTCAACAAACCCACCGAGCCCTCCAGAGCCCCACAAGCTCTAACCCAAAGATTTGTAGCTACTAAGCCCACATTTCCACATTTGCCCTTTCTGACCCAGGCCTTCCCAGGACAAGGGAGCCAAATGACCTGCCCCCGGCATGGCCCCAGGTCCAAAAGCATTGCACGCACTGGAGAACTCTGCTGTCATGACCAGTAAGCTGTGCCCTACGCTGAACTTCTGCAAACAAACATGGGCATCATTTCCGAGGGGCTGGTCCTGGGGACCACGGGTACAAGTAGGATGGGGGTCCGGCCCAGCCTATACAGCAAGGATGTAGGACCCTCACAGGGGCACCCCCGCTGGCCGGACCTGATCCAAGTGAGGCACCAAACAGCAGGAGCTGGGTCACCCTGGCTGAGGCCCCTTCACTCCAGGGCAGGGCCTCATGATGGGTCCAGAGAGGTGGCAGGCATAGCACTCAGGGCTATGGAGGGGCTATTCCTGTAGGCCAGACCCTGCTGTTGGAACAGGAGCCAAGTGGCCAGTCCCCAGGCCTGGTGTGGGTGTGGCTGCAGGGCCCCCACGAGGACACAAGGGGATGGTGCTGTCCCCAGCCAGCAGCAGCTAGAAGCAGCTGGGCCCAGAGGGAACTGGGCTGCTCGTCCCCAGGCCATGCCAACACAGAGGCCGAGTGACCTTGAGAGTGAGTGGGCCTGGGCAGACGCGGAAGGAGGGAGAAGGGGGCCTCCAACCCCACAGGGTCATGTGGGAGCTCCCTGGAAAAGCTCCCCTGGCCTGGGAGGCTCTGGGCTGGGAGGGCTTGGAGGTCCAGCCGTCTGATCTAGGCCCAAGGGGTGGCAACTGTGGGCAGAGGGACCCCCACGCCCCTGACCCTCTCAGCCCCCCACAAGTGTTTCTGGGAACTGATGAATGAGTCTGGACAGCAGCATCTCAGGTGAGTGGCTTGGCCACAGGGCTTCCAGGCCAGAGCCAGGGTGTCCTTGGGCCGCTGACCCCTCCTGAGGACCCCGTGGGCACCTCAAGAGGAAGGACCCCAGGTCCTGGGGTGGGGACTGCTCGCACGACTCTTTTTCAGCGTGGTGAGTATGAGAGTCTCCTAGGATCCCAACATCTGGCACAGCCCTGAGCTGGGCCCTTGGGGTGGCTGGTCCTGAAACCCTCTGCACCAGACCTGAAGCCCCCCACCCCTGGGGAGCCCCCCACAGTGGAGGGACAGAGAGGACACTGCCAGGGTGGACCCTGTGAGCTCCCTCAGCCAAGCCCTTGCTTGACCCCACATGCAGACCCGGCCCACGGCCCAAGAATCAGAAGGTGTGTCCCCGAGCCCCTCCCTCCCAGCCCTGACCCACGACCCATGTGGGGGTCACACTCACTTCTTTGAACTTGCCCTCCCGGTGAAGCTGGTGGATGTGAGTCAGCAGAGGCTCTGGTTGGCATCCTGCAGCTGGAGGATGCTGACCAGCGGCTCCACGAGACTAGGGGGGCTCTCAGCGAGGACCCTGACCACACGGGCCTGCAGCTGCTTCAGCCTCGAACTGCACTGGGAGCCCAGAGAGCCAGCCTCGGCTGGGGAGCGGGGGGCGGGGGCTGCAGCTGGGGTCACGGTGCTGGGGCAGACCTGGCCGAGGAGTCCTGTGCCCATGGTGGACATGCCAGGCGGGCAAGGCCTAGAGGGCGGAGGCACGGGTGAGGGAGATGCGTGGTTGTGGGGAGGCCGCGGGTCAGGCCCACAGACCGAGGCACCAGCCCCCGCCCAGCAAGGGTGAGGAAGGCAGCAGTCTCCAGAGGCCAGCTTGGGCAGGCGTGGAGCCCACGGTGCTGGGGGGACACGGCCGGTGGGGCTGGGGCCAGGCGGCAAACCCCCGCGGGGCCTCCCCCGGGGCCGTGGAGACAGAACCGCACTGTTGTTCTGTGGTGCTCGAATCCTCCAGCAAAGCCTCCCGCACCTGCGCGGTCCAGAGTGCGGTCTGCTCAGAGAGAGGGCTGGGGCTAGTCAGCGCCGTGACCCCTCCTCGGGGCTCTGGTCTGGTCCGACCCGCCGTGCCCCGCGTCCCGGGTGGCAGCCGCTGTCCACAGTCGTGGTCCCGTGAAGATGGGAGGCTCATCCCCGAGGCTGACCAAGGGCGGGAGCCCTCAGAGAGATTCCAGTCCTCGTGCCTCGCCCCACAACCTGTGTGGTGCCCGGGACACACGCGGTCCTTCAGACGCAGTGACGTGGTCGCGGGGCCCAGCGAGGAACGGGAAACAGAAAAAAGGGGGAAAACTGCCTCCGATTGACTTTTCTACCTCTTGCACTACAGAGGATTTGGAAACGGGTGGGAGCTAAAAGGAGAAAGACCCCTATCTGGAGGGAGTGGGTGTCGTCCGAGGGCTACCCCCCGGTGCGTGGCCGGCCCTGGCTGCGCTCTGCCTGACTCTGCTGTTCCCTGAAACACCCTGCAGTTACGGACCCACCTGGAGCCCCAGACGCTTCTCCCTCGGGGCAGAGCTGCAGGGTCTGGGCTGTGCACTCGGGAAACAGACACCCTGATGCCCGAGGCCACCCTGTGGGGAGCGAGGCGGTGAGGCTCCAGCTGCCCCCGCAGACCTGCAGACGGGCACACCCCGAGCACAGCCTCCGACACTGTGGGGCTGCCACCCCCGGGGCAGGCAGGCAGAGGCCACACTCGTGTCTCAGGGGCCACGGGGCCGCTGTCCCATCTCCACCAGCTGCCCCGCGCCTTCCAGGAACGTGTGAAAAGACACCCGAGGCCGAACCACCACCACCTTCTTGCTCGTGGAAGGAAAGATCTAGAAGGAGGCTGCTCTCGTCTGGTCCCGACGTACAGTTCCCGTTCAGGGCTCCAAAGAGCAGCACTGAGAGGCTCACTGAGCAGAGCCGGGAGGGAGCCCGCGTGGCTGGGACCTGAGGCTCCTACATACCGGCCAGCCAGCCCTTCTCCTTGGAAGGTGAGCTCAGGTAAACACCTGTCTCCTTTCTCCCCTGGGCAGTCCCCACCTGCCCAGCCCCCGGCCACCAGCCGGGCAGAGGGGGTGCACCCAGCTATGGCCCAGGGCAGCGGGCTGGAAGGAGGAATCCCGCCCAAGAGAGACCCTCCAGCCCTGGGCTGAGTGCCCACTGACCAGCGGCCACAGAGAACGAAGGCTTTTCCAAAAGAGCCACCATCTGTCCTGTGACGGGGTGATGGGAGGCCAGGTCTGGCTCCACTGCTGGACGGAAGGATGCCCAGGAGGGCCCCAGGAGGCCACACGGACCCCTTCCCAGCAGGACGGCCCCTGGAGCCCCCAGATCCACCCCATGGTCAACTGTGGGGCCAGCTCCTTCTGTTGGGGTCGTCCAGCTGCCCTTCACGGTGGGAACCTTCTGTGGTGGCCAGCAGAAGGGGAGCGAGGGGGCATGTCCTTCCGAGATGGCCACTGCCCATTGCTGGTGCTGGCTCTGTCCCCTCCCATGAGAAGGCTCAGCAGAGCGGCGGAAGGGACCAGTAGTTGCAGCTGGAGGGCTGTCAGCTTCCGGGGGCCCCCAGGAAGCTGGACGGTCGTGCGGGGGGCTTGCCTGACCTACCCAACGCAGCCAAGCCTCCCCCGCTCCGCCGCTGGGAGCCTCTCAGCCCGTGGCTTGGAGTGGGGCTTGAAGCAGAGATGGCCCTGCACCATCCCCGGGACCGCCGTGGAGGCGACGCTCACCTGGCCCAGGTGCCAAGGTAGGTGCAGCCCTGAAGGAGCCAAGGCCCCACGGGGGTCCGCGGGCCTCGCGGATGGCTGCGTCACCACTGAGGGCCAGGCAGGTCCTTGCTGCACTCTGGCATCTTCCCTGGAGAGAGGAGGCCTGCCAGCAGCCCCCGGGGACCTCCCCAGGGTTCTGCTGACCAGACCTGGGTCACACGCTCCCCCTGCCAGTGACTAAGCAACAGCAGAGGGGAAGTCAGCAGGGAGGCGCAGACCCCCTCTGCTGTTGGCCCCATGGCCCTTCCCACGTCTCTGCCCTGAGAGCAGCCTGGGGACGGCCTGGGCCAGAACTCTCTCCTTGGAAAGCGCTGCTCAGGTCTGGAGCTTGGAGAGTCACCCGCGTCCTGTCTGCGTGCCCTCTCCCACACAACGCCTCTGCTAAGCTCAGCAGCCCCCAGCAGCCCCCAGGCCGGGGGCCCCGCCCACAGAGCCGTAGGCAGGAAGCAGGGTGCAGAACCGGGACACAGGCCTTGGTCCCCGCATCACCGTGTGGACGATGCTTCCCCAGGACACGCAGAGCAAGCATCTACTTAGTCCGAACCTAATTTTAAAACCACTGTACTTGAGCAAGTTGGCATGCTCACCAAACGTGAAATGCACTTTCCCCTCAAGCATCTGTGGGAACTCAGGAGACCTGGCAAGTCTCCCTTCACAAACACCCGGGAAAGGAGAGGGTCTGTGGGAAAGGAGGCCTACGAGGGCCCAGGGCTGCCGTCGGCACCCACACAACTGGGCTGGGACATCACGTGCATCCGCATCTGCTGGGGTCCCGGGGACACCGTTGGGGGAGGAGAAGCACCATCGTGCTGTGACCTCTTGGCAGGCACGCGGGGGCCGCCACCAGCAGGAAAGAGCTTCACTAACAGGCGCTTGGGTGAGAACCACAGAACACACGGGGACGATGCACCTTGAGTGATGACCACCCCAGGACAGGGCAAGTGCTGGGACAGGAGGACACTGGTCTGGGAATGCAAACAATAAACACGCCTAAAATGGTGGAGGAAAGAAAATTCAGGGAAGAACACAGGGCCCCGAGGGGTAGCGTCCGCGAGCCCCTCCTGCCCTTCCGGCCCCTGCTGCGCCAGGGTGGACCTCACACGCTATCCAGCACCCACTGGCCACTTGCTGCCCCTTGTCCTGGAGGCTTAAGTCCGGGCCCCACGGCCCCCTCTCCGGTGCCACTCCGCTCCTCAGCTTTTGGTGGTCCCGGTGTCTACGCTGACAATCCCTTGAGCCCTGGCTCTGGACCCTGGCTACCACCCCCTCCCTCCCTCCCGCCCTCTGCCCACTCCTCGAGCCCCCCTCTGCCATCCAGCTGGGGCCCGTGTCTGGTCACCCCCCGGCTCACACTCCAGAAGTGGGCCTGCTGCCCCACAGAGCTCGCCCCACCCCGGACTTCATGGACTCAGTGCTGCCGAAGTCACCCCACGCAGGCTTGGGCCAGAGCCCCCACGGACCTGTCCTCAGCAGGGCGGGGGCCTGCCCAAGAGAGCCAGTGTTTCAAGCAAGCTCCAGGGGTTTGCCCCCTTGGGCCCCGCCTTGGGGAACACCGTCCTTCCCATTTGCTCGCCCTCCTGTGCCTACCATCTCTCCTACTGTTCCCTCCCAGGGGGCTCTGAGGACACCCCAAACCCACTGCCCGTCTCTGCCCCAGGCCCCACAGCCCACCAGCCCGCCTCCCCTGCCTGCAGCCTCTGTCCTGGCCACTCACATGCCCCACCGCCTTGTGGTTCCTGTGGGGACCCTCCGCCCGCGGCTGCCGGCCCCTGGGCCATCACCGGGGCCCGAGCTCAGATACTGAGCGGCACGGTGCCCGCCCACCCACCCCAGACCATTTCTGGCAAGTGAACCCAGGGGAGACAGCACGAGTCCCTCAGGCAGAAGCTTGGCTCCAGGCGGAGAACACAGCTAGCTGCCCAGGGCACTCACAAGACGCACAAAGACCCGCCTCCCAGCAGGCCTCTCTAGTGCCCAAAATGAGAACACACGGACGTGCTCCTTCATAGACAGAAACAAGTCACGAAAGAGCTCAAAACAACCCTGCGTGTGCTTGGAAATTAAGAACACGTCGGTCTAAGGAGACGCCTTAATGAGGATCGAGAAGACGGGCGACAGAGCCCTACCCGTGGAGACCTGTGATGGAGGGACCGTAGCGGGGGATGCACACCTGTCGGCGAGCACCTGGGAAAGAAGAGAGACCGTGGCGGGCCCAGCACCAGCCACGGGACAGCGCTGAGCCAAGGGACTGTCCTCGACCCCCACACCTGAGAGTCTCGAGAACCGCGGGGGACCTCAGGCCGGCAGCCACGATGACACGAGTGAGGTGGAAGCTTCCTAGGGCAAGAAACCAGAAGCGGAAAGCCCCCCAGAAACAGTCCCCCCTACCCGGGCTCAAGCCCAACCAGGCAGGACGGTCTGCGTTCTTCCAGACCCTCCAGGAACGAGGAATTCCGGTCTTCAACCAACGGTTCCAGAGAAAGGTAACAGAAGGAATGCTTTCAACCCAGTTTATGAGGTTAGTTCACCTCGACGCCAGGAACAGAGACAAAAGCTCACAAACACCGCACTATGACCAGGCGAGGTGCATCCCACACACGCAGGGCGGCCTGAGCTGGAGAATCTGTGAAGTCAGTTCACCAAATAACATGGTCAGCCTGCCTCCGTATTAACTCAAAGCCACGGGAGACAAAAATTAAAAAGAGCTTTTGGCTTTTGCCGAAACTTTGGCTTTCTCCAGCTGATGGCCAGAACTGCTCAGAGCCTCAGCGTGGGCAGTCGAGAGGAGGGTGACAGCCACCGCAGCTCAGGTGTGCATGGAGCCCAGGCCTGTCGCCCACACACACGGGTGGTGACCCCAGAAGTTGGGCTGACCCGTTAGCCAGGCGCTGGTCACCCTGCGCCACAAAGCCAGCCGTGGGCCTGGCAGGAGCGCCCTCAGCCTCCGTAGCTCACGGACACCCCTCCTCCGCAAGCCTGCAGCCCCTTCCAGGAGTGCACCTGCGCTGGACGCCTGCCCTGGTGAGCTTAGTCCGGGTCTGGGCACTCTGCCCACCCTCAGCTGGGAGCGGGAGGCAAGACACGAGACACGGGCCTTATCCCTCCAGCCACGCATGGGCCCTGCAGCCTTCCCTGTGGTGACCAGGGCCACCTCGTCCTTCTGCTGCTTCCGGGAGCAAAGTGTGGGGCAGGGGCGCCCACGGGTCCAGCTGTGCCTTCACCACCCACACGGGCAAAGCCACCCTCCAGGCCCAGGCCGCACGCATCTCCCGGTGGCCAGACAGGCTGTCCCTGGGGTGGGAGGCCATGAGCAAGGCTAGTGAGAACTGGTGAGTACCCGGCCCCCCACGGCACACAGGCGGTCATGGCCCACTGGGTCCCCTGGGCTGTGCGGAAGCTGGGTGGTGGCCACAGGCCCTTGCCTCCTGCTCTCAGCCTCGGGGGCCTGTGTCTACCAGTGTCCAGTGGGGGTCAGCCCAGGGCTCCAGCCCCCATGCGTCTGCCAGAACTTTCAGACAGGGTGGCCCACTGAGGCCAGAGGAGGACCCACGCCCACATGCTCACTCACCTGCCGCAGCTCCCGCGTGGACCACAGCGTCTGCAGGGCCTGCAGGAACGGGAGCGGGTCCTGGCCTGGGGGGACAAGACGGGGCTATGCAGAGCCCACCAACCCCACCTTGACCAACGCCTGGGGGCTCCCCACAGATGCCACCGGTGTCCATGGACTCTTGTGCCCTCTCTGGCCAGGGCTCCCCCTGCCCCTTCCCTGGGACCTGTGGCCTGGCCATCCGCAGTGCCCACTGGGACGGGCTTCTGTCCACAGCTTGGTGGAAGCCCAGGCCTCATGTTCCAGTGGTGGTGAGCGGCCCGTCTCAGAGTCGCCACACTGTGTAAGCGGGAAAGGGGCAGTGGACGCCAGGGCCACGCCTGCAGCCCTGACCATCACGCCCTCCGTGTATGTCCCAGCCCACCCCACCCACGGCCCACCAAGTCTGGCCTCCAGCCCCTGGCGAGGCCCCAGAGTGGTCCCGGCTTCTGCCTCCCCACCCCCGCTCTCCTGGCCCCTGCCGCACCCCACACAGCTGGCCGCTCCCCAACGCACCCCCCCCCAGCCCTGGTCCTCTCTTGCTTGCCCAAGTCCCCAGCCCCACTGCAGGACTGCGGGTCAGGACGGGGACCCCACTGGGACACCAGGCCCAGGGGAAGTTGGGGTCACCCTCATGCTGGAAAAGGAACTGTGTCCTCAGACCAGGTTTAAGGTCAATGCCCGGGAGGGTGGGCTGGCCTGGGAAGGTGTCTGCGGCCTGCTCTCCACTTGGGAAAGAAAGCGGCCTCTGAGTCACCCACAGCCACCAGCGCCCCCTGGCTGCCTCGGGAGGGCCCGCCCCACCCCTGCGGCCACTTGCCCCCGGCCCGCAGGGCAGGACCACCCTGCTCGGCCCTGCCGGGGTCCCCCCTGCCTCACTGCACCGCCCCCAGGGCTGTAGAAACCCCTCTTCACTAAGCAAGTCCTGCTGCAAATGCCCGGCCGCTGTCCGACCCTAGGCCTCCACAGCCCCACGAGGACATTACAGAGCCCAGCATGGATGCCAGGTGACATCAGGGGCCATGGGGCTCAGAGCCTGTGTCCAGCCCCAGCCCAGGGAGGTGGGAGAAGCCCTGCATTTACTCAGGACCCTGGCCATGCCCCCCACATGGTGGTGGTCAGAGGCAGGACCTGAGCCCCCACGTTGGGGGAGGGGAGGTCACCAATAGATGCCCTAGGTCAAATCGGGCTCACCCAGGGGACTTCACCTGCAAATCTACCCAAGAATTGAGGGGACAACAGCAACCCCCTGGGCTCCCGTGGAAGACCAGACTCAGAGGGAAAGGTGGGGACACCTGGACCAAAGCCTGGAGGGCCGGCCGGGACCACCCTGGGGCCTCGCCAGGGGCTGGAGGCCAGACTTGGTGGGCCGTGGGTGGGGTGGCCTGGGACATACACGGAGGGCGTGATGGTCAGGGCTGCAGGCTTGGCCCTGGCGTCCACAGACTTAGGGACCCAGACAGACAGCAGTGGGTAGACGGACGCACCGCATGGGAGGGGGAGTGACACGCTGGGTGCATTCCAGAAGCAAGGCTCGTTGACGGGCTGGGTGTCTACCACTGCGCTCCATTAGAGGAATAAAGGGGAAATCATATGCGCCTCTCAGTAGATGCAGAACGAGCATTTCATAAACACAATTTCTATTCATGATTTAAGAAACAACCCAGCAAACTGGGAATAGAGGCAACTTCATCGCCCAGAAAAAAAGATGTTTGTAAGAAACACTCTCGGCAAACACAGGACTTAATGCTGAAGACTGACAGCACCTCAGGGCACGGGGCCAGCAGGACAGCCCTGACGCGCACGGTCAGCTTTGGGTGCCGGTGTGTCGGGGGGACCGTGACGCATGCACGCTGCGGGGGCGCGGGTGGTGGGGACACGGGAAATCCTGTGCCTCTGGATTCTGCTGTCAACCTAAAACTGCTCTAGAAAATACAAGTCTTTAAAAATTAAAACAGGGGCACCTGGGTGGCTCAGTGGGTTAAGCGTCTGCCTTCGGCTCAGGTCATGATCCCAGGGTCCCGGGATCGAGCCCCGCATCGGGCTCCCTGCTCATCGGGGAGTCTGCCTCTCCCTCTCCCTCTGTCTCTCCCTCTGCTTGTGCTCTCTCTCTCTCTCACTGTCAAATAAATAAAATCTTAAAAAAAAATTAAAACAAGAAAATAAAAACATTACTGCTCACTGAAAACACAATTTTGTGGAAAGTCATGAAGAATCTAAAGAGAAGGTATTAGGGGCACCTGGATGGCTCAGTCGATTTCAGCTCAGGTCATGGTCTTGGGGTCGCGAGAACGAACCCTGAGTCGAGCTCCATGCTCAGCACGGAGCCTACTTGAGATTCTGTCTCTCTCCCTGCCCCCCCCAATAAATAAATAAATAAAGAGAAGGTATTAGGATTACTTAGCAGGCTTGTTGTAGCTTGGACACTCAACACAAGGCCAATACTAAAAACCAATTATTTCCATATAAACAAGTAACAAACAGAAATGAACATTAAAAATAATTAAAACAGCACAAAGAAATTCAAATATCTTTGGATAAATCTAACAAGAGAAATTCATGAAAAAAACCCCATAAAATATTGAGAAAAAAATTAAAAGACCTAATGAAGGAAGGGCCATCCCATACAATAAAAAAGAAAAGTTGTCGCCTGTCCCACAATCAGTAGATGCCATGCTATTCCAACCAGCAGCGGGGCTGGGAGGGCATGCATATGTGTCCACCTGTCTTAACAATCTGCCCAAAATCCCAGTGGAGCAAGACTACCCCACCCCGCGCCAAGCACCACCCTAGCACCACCCTAGCTAAGGCTGAGGGGCACTGGCCTGGAGAGGGCAGCCACGGACCCGTGTAAAGACCCGGAGCCGGAGCTGGGCACGCGCGGGACCCTGATGCGTGACCAGGGCGGCCCCGGAGCCCAGGAACTCTGTGTCCCTATTGAGGATGCTGGAGCTTCACTGGCCTCACACCCACACCCCTCACCGCCCCCCCACCCCCGGAAGACCTAAACATGGAAGACAGATAAATAGAGCCTCTGGGAGAATATTTTGATGACCCTGGGGCAGAGAGGTCTCCCAAAAAATACAACTACGGACAAGATTCCCACTAATCAAAAGGATCCTGCGGGAACCTGGCAGGGCAGGTCCTGGCCCCGCCTCACCTAGAGCCATCCAGCTGTCTAAGGGGACAGCCCTGCTCCCAGCTCTTCCTTCGCGGCCAAGACCTGGGCCCCACCCGACAGTTCTGCCCTGGGCGTGCTCCTGACCCGGCCCCCACAGCTGGGCGCCGCACACGGCAGAGGGCCGGCCATCTGGCCCTCCTGGGCAGTGACCACATCGGCCTTGTTCCAGGCTGTGGTCCGGGCCTTGGTGGGTGCTCCACAGTGAGCTGGGGATGGTACCAGGGCCAAGCCCGCATACACACGGTCTCCAGCCCAGTGGCCTCGGGCAGAGCCCTGGAAGCCCAAGGTGCAGCAGGAGGGGACCGAGGCAGGTCTGAGTGGGGTGGGGCATGGCAAGGACATGGCCCGGTGGGCGGTGGGGTGTGGGTGGGGTGTGGGCGGTGGGGCAGGGAGGTCCCCTAGCTGAGGGGGGCTCTCCACTGACACCCATCCAAGGACACAGAAAGGAGGGCGTTGGGAGATGTTTGTCTGAAGGAACAGATAAGCAAACTAAGTGTCGCTTTGCAGAGCCCAGGGCAGGGACCTGGCGGGCCTGGGTCCCTGCTGCCCTGACTTAGGGATTCAGGCAGGAGGCTGGGCCTAGGGGGGCAGGTGGGAGCCTGGTGCCGAGGGGTCTCTGTCCACAGGATGGGCATCAGCCATGCCCGCCGCCTGGCATGGCCCCTACGTCCCCACCCCAGGCCTGGGGCTGGGCCAGGCCCAAGTTCACAGCTAACCCGCCCTGACGACGTGGACCTGTAGGCAGAGGGCCAGACAGCAGGACGGGGCCTGAGACAGATGGCCTCTGGCCTGTGCCTGGCCCCTGACCCCATCCCCAGACCATGCAGGTGGGGGCGGGGTGGGAGGCTCTGTGCAGGGAGGACACTGAGAAGCAACTCATTTCAGGAGTGAAACCTCCGCACCCACAGCCAGGGCTGCTCCTCTCTGTCCAGCACGCGGGCCTCACGGGCTGTCCTCACCAAAAGCCCTCCCGCACACGCACGAGGGGGCCTCAGGCTCCAGCCACACCAGGAGGCACCGGGGTGGCTCACCCTCTGCCCCGTCCCCCCGTCCTCCTGCCTCCCTGGTGCCCACTGGACACCGAGAGCTGCTAGCTGCCCAGCAGTGCCCCTGAGGTCGCTGACAGGAGGAAGAGAAATGCAGGGCCAGGGAGGGGCAGGGCCGATGGACAGAGCTTCATCCAAAACACCACCGAGCTAACTCAGTGCCTTCACTTTAAGAAACAGATGCGTTCTAGAAAACAGCTCAGCGGCCACGTGAACACAACGGCCTGCTATTTCCTGTCATGAAGCCGGAGACAGAAATAAAACGGGCACTTTCTGTGGGGGGCGTAGGAGCAGAGAAATCTCAGAAACCGTGGCCGGGCGTGGCTGAGCTGCGCGGTGCTCACCGGGCCTCCCCTCCCCACCGTGGTCTCCGTGAAGCCCCCTCTCCTGAGCCACCCAGTCGTCCTCCAGAGACCCAGGTCAGGACCCACAGAGGCTCCCGCGGTTGGTCTGGGATCCCACTCGGCACCAGCGGGAGGCAGTGCTGGACGCGCTGAACCCCGGCTGCCCCGGCCAGACCCGCCCGCTCTGCAGGTCATCCCAGTGTCCACGTCCGCCCCCGGGGCGGCTGTCCTGACCCTGCCCATCCTCGGGTAGCTGCAGAGCGCAGGCGTCCAGCCTGGCTGTCGGCCTGAGCAAGGGCCGCAGCACCAGCCCCGTCGAATCCGCAGACCCAGCTGCAGTGTCCCGAAGGCCGCCACTCTCCTGCCCTGCCTTCCGCACCGCCTGGCGCAGGAACCCGTCCCCTCTGCGGTGATGTCCATGTGAGCTGTGGCAGTCGGTGACGTCCTGCCTCCCAGGACGGGCGCACGCGGTTCCTCGGCAAAGGTGGGGGCCGTCACTCTCTCCAGCCCACCTGTCTGCCCCACTTGGTCCCTGGTCCCAGCCCCCCTGGGACCTGGTCCCTGGTCCCAGGTTCTACCCTCGTTTGGGGGGAGCTGGGACAGGACGGGGGGCTCAGCCCTTCCCGAGGGGGACATGTGAGGACCGGTGACAGGCGAAGAGAAAGGGCATTCCTCAAAGCCCCCATATCGGAAACCCCTCAGAGGCCCCCCAACAGCACCCAAACCCAACAGGCAGGGTAAGGTCTCCCGTGGGAGCCGCCCCCCTCTGGGAAGTGGGATGAGAAGGCCTTGTTGTCCTGCTTCCGCCAACAAATCATGAGCTTCCAAGACAGGACCCCCCCGCCCCGTCCTCAGCAAGGCGCCCCGAAGCATCAGGCCAGCATCCGGCCGGCTGTGGGGAGTCACGACGAGCGGGGCGTCCGCACAGAGGCGAGCTCCTGCTGTGGGCAACATCAGCACATACCTGAGGATCCAGGTGAAGCACCTGGAGGGTTCCTCCAGCAACCGGGATCCACGTAGGTGAATGCACCCCATTAACACACAGAAGCCACCAGATTTCAGGGGCAAGTTAGACAATCTGCTGGAAGAAAGGATCCTACTAACAACAGGAATTTTAAAAAATGAAACACTTAGGTGTTAAAAAAATGTGGAATAAACAACGTGGAAGATCTACTTTTTTCATCTAAGAACAAAAGAACAAACAGGAAGGCAAACCCTGTCCTTGAGGGTTGTTCCGGTTTTTACCCCAAACACGCACTGTCGTTTGTTAGGGTCACAGTCCTGCAGGTCAGGGGTGGGGCATGGCTGGCACCTGGGCTCAGGGAAGGGTCACCGCGACCCATCAGAAGTAGCCACCAAGGCCAGGCTGCGCTCGAGGGCGGGAAGCAGAGCCCTCGGTGGGAGGGTGTCGGGGACTGCAGGCGTTCTTACACCGTCGATGAGCTGTCCCGCACCCCCGGGGCCAACCGCCGGGGTAACGCAATTCAGTAAGAATACAGGATTTCTGTGGAACCAAACAAGCCCATTCTGATGCCGAAAGAAAGAGAGAGAGAGAAAAGAAGACAAAAACAGAAACGAAAAGCGACGAGGGTTGTTAGTCCCGCCAGAGAGTGAATCACCATAAAACCACGGTCACTAGGACAGCGTGCTGTTGGTTCACGAGTGGACAAAGACCAGAGCAGAAAGCTGGCGACAAACACAAAGACACGGGAACCCAGCACGTGATCGCTGGGGGGACGTGGACCGCTCACGGAGTGTTGTCGGGAGACCCGAATGTCTTCTAGAAATAGAGGCGAGTCGGGCCCCTCCTATCTCACAGCAGAATAAATGCCATCTGGATCCAAGACTCAACGTGCTCACAGCTGACCCCTCACAGCTCTCTGTTCCGGGCAGGTTTGTGTTCAGCACTCACAAATGGAGGGGAGCACTGGCTTACGACCATTTTTCTCAGACAGGGAAACACAGGGAGGTTAAGTAACAGCGAGGAAAGTGTGTGTGTGCCACCTCGGTTCATGGCCTCTCATGTCACAGCCCAGGGATGGCTCCCCAGCCCCAGGGGCCAGGGGAGACCCTCACCCCAACACTTGGTGCAGGGAGGGGCGGGCCTTGCAGTGTTGACTGCATGCCCTGGGGGCCCCCCGTGTTTCGGGGGTCCGAGGGAGGGAAAGGGGCTTCCTGGAGCTTCGGCACTTGTCCCTCCCTCTGTGCTGAGAAGGAACTTCCGAACCCCCAAGCACGGGGAGTCCAGCGCTGCCTGAAAACCCCAACCACCCAACTTCTGATTCAGCTCCATTTGCTCCTACAAAGGCCACGTTTTCTTGGGGAAACAATCTTTGAGCCCAGTTGATGTTTCATTTGGAGAATGTTTTCTTGGCCCCAGGGAAGCGGAGGTTGGGAGGAAAAGGCCACTGTCCTCACTGGCCCATCCTTCCCCTCATGAAGCCTCAACACCAGCCGCAGACCCAGCCGGAGGAACCACGTGGATGCCCGAGGGCCTCAGGGGTATCACCCTCCCAGGGACAGATGATGCCCACTGCAGAGAGCTGCCCTGGCCTGAGGCCGCCCACAGAGGCCTTCCTAAGGCTGGCCACATCTGCTGACCTGGACACCAGCACAGGCCCGGAGACCCAGGCTGTGTCTGATCGGGAGGGGGGGGCTGTGTCTGATCCGGGGGGCTGTGTATGATCCGGGGGGGCTGTGTCTGATCCGGGGGGCTGTGTCTGATCCGGGGTGGGCTGTGTCTGATGGGGGGCTGTGTCTGATGGGGGGCTGTGTCTGATTTGGGGGGCTGTGTCTTATCCAGGGGGGCTGTGTATGATCCGGGTGTGTACATCTGCTTTGGGGGGCTGTGTCTGATCCGGGGGGCTGTGTGTGTTCTCAGGGTGGCCTACCCCTCTGCTAGCTCCAGCAGGCCATGGGTGAGGCCCTGCATACCCTCAGGCCGAGGCCCAGGTGTGATGGGCAGGTGTGACATCATCGTGAGGCCCACCCTACATGCAGCCCCCTGGGGATGGGCAGACAGAGGCCTGCGTAAGGCCTTGAGAGAGGAGGGGCCTGAAGATTCCCTGTGGGCACCAGCTGCACCCCCAGGACCTGGGTCCCTGCCCTCCAGACCCTAGATCCTCACTCCTGTCTCTGGTTGCTGGTTGGCTCAATGGCCAGAGCTGACCCCAAAGTGATGACCCAGGAGGCCCCTGGGGGGGAAATGTGGAGACCATGGCCATCCAGGACAAAAGAGGCATGCTGCGATTTGGGAACCAGTTCTTAGGGTCGAAATGAGAAGACAGCTCTTTGCTGACCACATCCCCCGCCACCAAAGCGAAAATGCCTCCCTACCCCACCAAGGGGGTCTCTGTGCCCAAACAGGCCCCTCATCTCTGGTCAGGACCCCGGGCCTGGGCACAGGGCAGGGGTGCCGCGGGGGCCTTTGGGCTCCCACGTTTGCAGTCTGGCCCAGGCCCCTGCTTTTCAGACACACCCCACTTCCCTCCTTGCTGCTTCTTGGCAAGATGAATAAAATGCGTGTGTCAAGCCCAGAGACTCAGAGAAACAACCGTCCTTCCCCCCATCGCCACACTCGCCTGCTTCCCCCACTTCTATGTGGGGCTCGGTCCTCCCCTGTGGTGTTGGCTCAGCCACAGAGTCCTCCGGCAGCCGTCGAGCCAGTGGCCAGCAGGCAGCCTGCCTTGGGACGACGAGACCACGTAGCTTGCCCCTCGGGAGCTGGAGGCTCCCTTCCCAGGGCACACGGAAGCGCCTACCCACTGCCCTCAGGCCAGGAAGGCTGCGCTTGCGTCCACTCGAGGTGGGCCCACGCGGCCCAGCCCCACACGAGCCTGGAGCACTGGGATGCCTTCCACCGGGGCTGCCTCCCTGCACACACACATGCCGCCCATCTGCAGACAGCCCCACGCACACACACTCTGCACACACACCCCACTCCTCAGGCACCCCCATACCTGGCCCTGCCAGACGCAGCCCATCGGGGGCGCAGACTCACCTGCAGCATGGCCCTCGCTCCCAGCCGTGGGGTCACCAGCCACGTCGCCCACAGCAGGGTCCGTCCCCAAGGTGAGGCCAGGGAAGGCAACAGGCAGCTCGAGGCGTGAGGACCTGGTGGAGAGTGATAGACTGTTCTCCCCACACTGACCGGCAGCCCACCAAGGGCCCACCTCTGTCCCGGTGCAGGGACCCAGGCGGCCTCGGCTGCCCCTGCCGGCCGGGGAAGCTTAGAGCTGGCTTCAGGGGCGGGCTTGCAGTGAGGACCCACGAGCTAACCCACCCAAGCACGCCCACCTCTAAATAATCCAGTCTGGCAGCAAGCGGTCATGCCCTGTGGTCAGCAGGGTGCCTGTGAATGTTTATTGTCTACAACACACTTCTCTGCACTGATGGAGACTATTCTGTCTCTCCTCCTTTATTCTGCGTACTTGAGGCCTTGTAAAGACTTTGTTCCCATAGGCAGCCTTCCTCTGCATCACAGTGAGACATGCAGAGCCTCCTGAGTACCCCAAACCTCACACAGATACGGAAGGGACGAGCCTCTCGGCTTCCTTCCCTGAAACTCCCCCTCAGAGGCAACCACTCTCAGGACTCTTTCAGCTGTCCCTTTAGATATGTACATTCATATTTCTTTTTCTTTTTCTAGATTGTATTTACTTATTTATTTATTTGACAGAGAGGGAGAGAGGGAACACGAGCTGGGGGAGGGGCAGAGGGAGAAGCAGGCTGCTGAGCGGGGAGCCCGATGCGGGGCTCGATCCCAGGACCCCGGGATCCTGACCTGGGCCGAAGGGGATGCTTCACCAACTGAGCCCCCCAGGCGCGCTACATTCATATTTCTAAATAATATGTTGATGTGGTTCCTCCTTCAGTTTCCAGTCTTACATGTGACTGACCAACTTCAAGCCAGAATCCACCATCACACCCCAGCGGCGCCCACACATCCCACAACCTCCTCAAACAGTTCTGTGAGTCTCCCTTAGCTCACTCTTTATAGAAGACGTGAGCACGACTGTGTAAACACTACGCACGGCCGAGCCATGTGTGGACTGTGGTTACTTTTCCGTTCACGCTCGGTTTGCGCCAGCCTTCTGCTATGGCCCCGCGGGAGGACCGGTGTCGCGCGGGCCCTCTCGCTGCAAACAGCATCAACTGGACAATGTATCTGTGGACGACAGGCAACACACAACCATGCCTGCTGACCGCAGGACAGTGCCCAAGGGGGCCCCCAGGACGGCTGGCTCCCAAGACCACGGATCTGGAGTCCAGAGAGCACAGCGCTCCGCCGGGTACAGGACGCAGCAGTGCATCTGTGGGACGGGGCACCGCAAGAGGGGTGACCCGAGCAGCCGGAAGTGCCCACGCACAGCGCAGGAGCCCCAGGCTCCCAGGAACAGGCGCCTCGGGCCTGAGACGGTAACAGAGACGGTAGCAGTCAGGCTGTGCCGGACATACCAGACTCCAGCCCAGCCAACACCAGCTGAGACTCCAGGAAGGCCAGGCTTAGGACGATGCCCAGAGTGAGCCCCCTCTTGACCTGTCCTGCCAACATCTAAAACCAAGCCCCAGTAGAATCAACATTGGTCGACTGTAGGTTGAGTTGTAGGTTGAGTCACACCAAGACAAAGATCCACCCTAACAAAATGTCAAGCCATGCTCACCTGTTCAAGGTAATCAGCTAGAAATTAACTGCCTACTAGAACAGAAATCAACATTCTTCATAGGAAGATAACAGAATCCAGAATCCAGAGCTGCTACAATGTATCATTCACAATGTTCAGTACATAATATAAAAATCACAAGATCTACCAAGAAACAGGAAAAAATGACTCCATAATCAAAGAGAAAAAATTAAAAACAAACAAACAAACCCAGATAATAGAAACCAACTCCAAGTGGCTCAAATGTTGGATTTATCAAAGACAAACACAGATATTATAAGTGTGTGTGAAGGGACGCCTGGGTGGCTCAGTCAGTGAAGCATCCACCTGCAGCTCAGGTTATGATCCCAGGGTCCTGGGAT